CTAACATTATTCAACCTCCTTTTAGTAATGAGATGTATACAAAAATTTTGAAAGAAAAAGTTAATTCAACAGTGTTTATTACAATGTTTCAAGAAGCTTATCAATTAGCTTTTAACAAGTTAAAAAATCATATTGACAATCATTTAGCATTACCTTTATTTAAAGCAATTCAATGCTTTGATCCACATTATATTCGTGCTTAACAACATCATTATAATATTAGTTTATATTCGGAAATTCAAGAATTTAAAAATCCAACAGATAAGAATGGAGAATTTATTGTAGTTTGGAAGAGGAGTTTGATGATGGTAAGTTTGATTTAAATATCTATTGGAAAAACAAAATTAAAAGCTTACCGAATTTAGCAAGACTAGCCTACGAATATATTTGGTTTCCGCTATCTGGAGTAGATGTAGAACGAAGTTTTTCAACATATGCCAATATTCTTAGTGATAGACGGCATGCTCTTTCAGAAAATTCAATTGCTGCTTTGAATTTTTTGTATTTTAATAATCAAAATTTGTAATAGCAGTATAATCAATATATTTTAAATTAAGTAATTTGATGAAATTATCACATTTTTTTTTAGCATTTTTTGAAAAAACAAAAAAAAAAGAAGCATATTTTATAAAAAATTTTCCGAATACTACTTGCATATTTAACTATATAATTTGAGTTTAACGCCGCAGAAAATGGGCCACCCTATGTATGAGTTTTTAGAATTTAAGAAATGTAGGTGTTTCGTTTTTACCCGTTACATTTCATTCTTTTTAAAGAAAAAAGAAACGATATTTTTATTTATTTATCAGTTATATATTAATTAATATTATCACATTTTATAAATTTATATACATAATTTTTTCTAAACCAAACAAAATATATAACATCGGTGCTATCAAAGGCAAGCATCAACACGAACCCTCGATTGGATTAATGCGATTTGCCTTTGCCTTTATTCTTCTTCGAAATACTAGGTTTCGAATCGCCCAAGTCATAAGTTGGAAGAACTTCATGTAATGCCTTGATCAATTTTTTGTTCGATTTGAGTTTAAAGTCAGCCGGAAACTCAGTTCTACATTGAGGACATTTTCTACCCATAATTTCAATACTTCGAGAAAGACATTCTTGGCAAACATTATGAGAACAAGCTGTAGTGACAGGCTGATCAACCAATCCAAAGCAAACAGGACATTTGAACTCCTTTTCAGAGATAATTTCAATTAATTCATTGTGGTTTTCGAATTTTGATTCAAGGACAGCTGTCCAAGATCGTTGATTATCTTTGTCTTCTTTAATCAGCTCCTTAAAAGTGGCCGATAATTCAAATTTTTTGGCTTTTTTAGGTTTTACACCTTCATCATCAGAATTAAGCGCACGCTTCTTTGGTCTTACATCATCATCTCCCACGTACATTTTCAAACCTAATTCTTTAATTCGATTCTTTCCTTCTTTGGTCCATGGAGCTGGTTCAGGATCGTCACGACGCATAAGAAACCTCCAAACTTTGAACCCGGTTTTCCCTTCCTCTGGCCAATATTTAACCAGCTTATAGATTCCATCATATCTAATCCCTTCTTCTGGTGCGAATTTTGGATTATGCTTTGCTAATTTTGAGGAGCGACAAACCCGAACCGGTAAGCTCTTTTTCCAGTTTTTCGCAATGCCTCCATTTATATTATCAATCGTAGTATCGCAAGTCCTGGCTAAAGCTTCATTATTTTTATTCAAAATTTGATCAAATGTCTGAGCTGCAATTCGTTTATTACCGGTCTTGAGATCTCGACCACCACTTCCAGTATAGTAAAATTCGTCACCATAGTCTGTATCTTCAGGGTATCCACCACTAAGTACAATAGAAACGGAGCCAACGCTGGACTTTCCAGCAATACCAGCAACGGGTGGACGATGAACTCCTGCTTCAGAACAAAATATCCTGTATTTCCAAGACGATCCAACTGGGACGCCTGGGATTGGTCCAAAGTGGTCGGGATCCACTATTTCGCATTTTTTGGATTGCCCGACACAAGCCATACCTCCTCCCCATTTCTTGGTTTGAGTAGCCGATGGCATTTTTGATTTTCTTGACTTTTTAAGATCCAATCCTTGCCCAGCTATTACAACCCCTTCATTTTTATGTTTACAATCTCGACAATACCATTCATCACTTGGAAGTTCCGTGATTGGAGGTGATAAACAATAGAAATGAAAATAATATTGACATTCATCACATACAATAGTATGCTCTTCATCACCCTTTCCACCGCAAATATTACAGCCACATTCCTTACATTTCCTACCCTTATTTTCACAATTATTGCAGAAGTACTTCTCTTCCCGTTCAAAATTATTTGGATCGTCCATTATATTATTTCCATTGAATGTTGATGAATTCCCAACATCTTCACTTTCGGCAGGTTGACTTGAGGAATCCATTTCTTCACTTTCGGCAGGTTGACTTGAGGAGCTCACATCTTCATTTTCGGCAAGTTGATTTGAATCTTCAACCTTTAAAGAGATATTTACCGATATAACTTGTGATTCGGCATGTGGTGTTTCTATGATTTGTTTCCTGAGAAGCATTACTGTGGTATTGTGTTTTATGTCATAATGGAAAAGGTTATGTCCATTTTCCAACTGAATATTAGAGAAAATATAATTTTTATAAATTTAGGTTAGTATACGAAATACATCAAGTTGATGTTATGTAAGATTATTCAAAATGATTATATTCAGTAAAATATTATGTGAACAACGCGTAACTTTTAAATGCAACACAACCACGCGTCCATTTATTTTCTATCTCTGATGCACAATACCACAACCCTCTTTTCGTATATTTCGCAAACTTTACAACTTTTTAATACGCGTTTTTATGTTTTCTTACCTGTTTTCCACCAAAAAATAGTCGTTGCCTATCAGGTGGATATTTGTTGCGGCCAAATTGATTGGCAATTAGGTCACGAAGATGTTCTATGCTATCAGTTGGGGTACATGAAATTTTAACTTTATCGTGTCTTTCGTTTGGAGCGCTGATAAAAATATACATCTTGAAAGTCTTGAAAGTCTTGGGTTAAACGTGTAAAATTTTATTTTATAACCAAACCATACCCCTTTTTCTAGTTTCCATAAAACGTGAAATTTGTTATGATTGTTACCACGTTACGTTTGTTACTTCTGCATGTATGTATGCCTTAAATGTATAATGAAAATATGCCAGTATTAAAAGTTGTACAGTTGTACAGCAAGTTGTCATTGGTTGATCGCAGGGCAAAAAATAGTACTGTAAAAAACGGAGATCGATCTCCGATTTGTTTTAAAAATATCCGGTAAATTTTTTCAAAACCGGATATTTTTCCGGATAGAAAAATTAACTTCGCAATAAATTGATCCAATTTTATAATCTCTAAACGATAAATTTTATCAAAAAAAAAAAATTTTAGCAATTTGGAATTCATAATATAAACGAAGAATTTAATGTTTTAAATTGAATAAAAAATTTTTTTTTGATGATCCGGTAAATTTATTTGAAATCGGATATTTTTCCGGAAAATTTTAAAAGGATCTGGTAAAATTTATGTAACCGGATATTTGTCCGTAAATTTTGCTATCCTATTTTATGCCCTAGTTGATCAACTCAAAAGTTAAAAAAAAAAAAAAATAAAATATATTATTATTATTTATTAAATAAGAATTTTATATAACTAAAAGTTAAATCATAATATTATAAGTATAATTTATATTATTTTGTTGATTAATATTATCTTGAAGAAATTTTAAACATATCTAAATAATATTAAAATCGAAAAATATTTTCTTTTTATTTATATTTGATTTTTATTAATAATAAACATATTGATAAAATAATAAATAAAATTTATTTTAATTAAAACAAATATAAATTTTAATATACAATTGCATCTAAATTAAATGCAAATACTAATTGGTAAGCTTAAAATGCTATTAATTTATTAATTATATATGCATAATTAATGATCATATACTTATTTTAAAACTTAAATCTTAATGAATATCCTATAAAAATTTAATATTTAGTTAATAATACCAATTTTATATAATTTAGCAATTTATATTATAATTTCTTACTTAATGAAATTTTGAGTATAGAAATTTTTAAGCAGATTAGCTATTATCAAACTAATATTAGATTTTATTTTTCTTAGTACAGCAATTTTAATAAGCTAAAATTTCTTAAAATTAGGCTAGTAAATTATAAGAAATTTGTATATAATAATTAACTAGAAAATGGTTTTAGAAATCATTGTTAAGTCCAGAATACAAGTGTAATGAAGGGATCAATCATGTATTAACTCAAAATTTAAGTAAACAAATATCAGAACATCAAAGTACATAATGTATAATAATTAATAAAATATTATATAAAATTAGTTAAAACTAATATTGACTTTTTGGCTGTTTAATTGAAGTTTATTTATTAATCATTTGGCAAATTTAATTAAAAAATCTTAGCTACAATTAAATATTAATCAAATTCTAATAAATATTAATATATTTATTAATATTTAATTATTTAATTAAAATTTGATTAATTAAAAGATTACTGTATAATATTTTCTGATATACTAGTCAATTTTTAATAAATTTAGCTTATTAGAATTATTATACGAAACTAACTACAAGAAAAAGAAAATCTTGACTAATAAAGAATTAAAATTTAATATTAATTATTACTTTGCTTATAAAAATTTTCTATGCTTAAAATTTTACTAATTAAGAAATTCTGATATAAATTATTAAATTATATAAAATCAATATTATTAAATTTTTATAAAAGAAATAAACTTAAAATAACCTATAATGTTCGTTACTATATCACATGATTATTATCAAATTTTTTATGTTATGAATTTATAGTAACTTTATTATAAATATAAAATATGTGATGATAAATAATTACGTAATTTAGCTACCACAAAATACAAAACATATGATGCAAAAATATAATTATTTAACTACGTTAATTTATATTTTGATATCAAAAATATGAATTCTAAAACTTTAAATTTTCTCATACTTACTCTTTTTTTTTATTATTATTATTTTGCAATTAATTCACAAAAGAATATTAAATATGAAAGGTAGATATATATAATAAGGTTATTTTAATAATTTATAGATGATTACTATAATGTTACATATTTATTGATCACTGTAATTAATTTTTTCACTTTTTTAAAAACAAATTCATCAGAATCTATGACTAGCTTAGCAATAAATCTCAGAAGTGCAAATAATATAAAAGAAGTATTAGTAACTTCTTTAAGCAATATTATTAATAAAATTGATATAAATAAAGAACAAAAAATTAACTTTTTAATAGCTTATTTATTTTTGTTATAGGAATTGGCTAAAACTTATCTCAACAATTATATAAAAATTGCAGAATTCTCTTTATGTCAGAAAAGAGTAATAACTAATAATGATAATAAAATCACTTATCGCATATTTGAATGTACATATTTTGGTAAATCTGTAAGTAATTAGGTTATTAATCTTTTTCAATAATAAAATTGTAATTTAAGAAAGATCTCTTGTCTGTAGCATATAAATTTATCAAAAACAAAGTTAGCTTTAAATATTACTATTACCAGTATAGTAGAAGAATATAATCATCAAATGTAACTGAATATTGTCTTATATGCTTTAAAGTATAAAAAATTATCTTCAGAAATTTTGGAAATAATAGAATTTTATATTACAAAAAGTAATATAAAATCTAAGCAAATATTATCTCTTTTGATTATAAAATTTTCAGATAATATTATTCATAATTGTGATCTTTATAATGCTGTTCAAAAGTTTTGAGTATCACTCAAGCAATGTTATAAAGATGCCTAAAATATTATAAATCATTTATTACAACTAAAAATCAAGATTCTGGTTGAATTGTTAATATTTAGATAGATACATATGATAATTAACTAATAGAATTATTTTAAATATCACTAATACAATAATAATATTTAGTTCATTATATAGATATTATTCAAACTGATAATACATGTTACACAAATTGATTTGATATATATTTAACACTTTTAGTAGTAATTGATAATAATACAAAGACTATATTAATAGTTTAATTTTTATCTGATGATAAAACTACTAAATCATATGAATAATTTTTAGATTATCTTATGAATGCAACTTATAATACACTACTAATAGCATTATTTTCTAATGCTAATCCTATACTAAGTAGTACTATTACTTCAAAATTACTATGACGTAATATTTTTTGTGTATTTTTCATATTCAAGAGAATATTTAGAAAAACTTATAATGTAAACTTGGCAAGTAATTTGATAAGTTTTATAAGAAGTTTTTATATGTACAAAATAGCATATTTAAAGAAGATTTTTATAGATGATAGATATGTTTATTAAACAAATATCCTTAAATACATAATTATTTTAAAAGAACATTATAAGAAAGTATTAATTTATAGGTCCAATGCTATCAATTAAAATATTTTACAACAGAAATATAAAGTATCTAGTATGTCAAAGTAATAAATTAATTGATTAAAGGAGGTATAAAAATTACATCCTCTTTGTATAATCTTTGTGAATAAATACAAAAACTTTTGGATAATAAAGTTAAATGATCATATCATAATAGTTATTTAAATTCTCTCTCTACTAATCAAATATTTTCATTCATTAAACTAATATTTTTAAAAGTATTAAAAATCTTAAAACATATTTAACTTCTCATATAATAATAACAAATTATTGGATTTCTTTTATATCAAGCACAATTATAATAAAAAAAAGCATTCAAGAACTATAGATAAAGTAATTTAGTTATTTATATTTACAAAATCCTAATACCAGATTTTAATTTTAATAGTAAATTATTTTAAAGATTCAAAAAAGTCAATAATAGTTGCATAATATTTGCAGTAAAAATACTGGATAATACTCTTATAAGAGTGTTATCCAGTTCTACTACAGTCACACCTCGATATAATGAAGTTGCTGATTCAGTCAATCAGGACTTTGTTATAAGAATCTTCGTTAATGCTATAACAAATTATGCAGTATGTATAACGAATAATTCATTATAGCGTTAATGAATTATTCGTTATAGTAGATGATTACTGATTTCATTATACAAATATAATTTTACTATTTCCAGAAATATTTTCACG